TCTCCCCGTCCCCAGCCATGCCCTGACCCAACACCCAGCCCTGGGCAGGCTGGAGCTGGTGGGTGGTGGGCAGCAGGACCCTATTGCTCTCCCCATTGCTCCTGCAGGATCACCATCCCTGTGCAGAGCTTCTCCAACCTGCAGATCCGAGGTGAGCCTGTGGCTGCATGTGGGGCAGGATGGTGGCACAAGCAGGGGTGGCTTCTGGAGGCTCCATGGGAGAAGATGCCACCTTGACTGTCCTTGTCCCATCCAGAGGGACCAGGAGGTTTCCTGCCAGGGAACCAGGACTCCTGGGTTTTCCCAAGTTGCAGGGCAAGGAGTATGCCATGGCCACATCCCCGAGGCTGAGCATGTCCCCAGGACTGTCCACATCACTGTGTCTTCAGTGCCAATGACATCCCCAAGGCCAACTGTGATCCTCAAGGACAGCCCTGTCTTCAAATCCAATCACATCCCAAAGCCACCCATGTCCTCATCGCCAACCACATCTCTAAGGCCAAATGTGCCCACTGCCAACTGTGTCCCCAAAGCCAATCGCATCCCAAAGCCAGCCCCATCCTCAGTGCTAACCACATCCCCAAGGCCGCCTACATCCCCAGCTGCAACCCTGAGGCCAACAGTGCCCCTGAGGCTGGTCATGTCCCCAGGGCAGCTGTGTCCCTTGCTGGTTTAGGGGTTTCCATCCCAATGTGAATCCTTTGGGCCTGTCCACCCAAGCAGGGCTGGAAAGGCTCTGCCCCGGGCACTGGGTCACTGCCATGTCCTGTCCATGTGCCCTAGAGACCAGCCTGGACACGAAATCCGTGTCAGAAGCCCATGTGAAGAGGAGCATCGTGGTCAAAACTGTGGAGACCAGAGATGGAGAGGTGAGAATTCCTCATCCATGTCGTTCATGCTGCCTCCCCTCCACCCCTGCCTCCCATGAGGTGTCCCCAAGGGGACATGCACATGGGGCCACCATCCCTCAGCCCCAGGAGCCAGAGATCCCAGTGCCCTGGCAGCACAGCATGGGCTGCCTCTGGGCCATGGTGGAGCTGAGCCTGGCAGCTCATAGAGGAAACCATCCCTTTCCCTGCCTCCAAGCTCGTTCAGAGCCTGCGCAGGCTCAGCTGGAGCCAGACCTCGGCTGATGGTCCCTCTCCCTCTGCCTCCAGGTGCTGAAGGAGACCAAGCAGGAGCACAAGGAGGTGGTGTAGGGCGGGTGCCCGCAGCAGCCGCGCGCTTGTA